ATGTCCGTTTGTTCATCATCTATCTTGGTTTGTTCATTATCTGTCATTATCTACCTCTCCACCTCAGTGCATTCATTATCTCTCTCTCTCTATCTCTGTCACTCCATTACCTATCTCTCTCTCTCTCTATCTCTGTGTATTATCTATCTTTCTCTCTGTCTATGGATTTGTCCATTACCTATCTCTCTCTCTGTGTCTCTCGGTCTGTCCATTACCTATCTCTCTCTCTCTGTCTCTCGGTCTATCCATTACCTATCTCTCTCTCTCTGTCTCTCGGTCTGTCCATTACCTATCTCTCTCTCTCTCTCAGTCTGTCCATTGCCTATCTCTCTCTCTCTGGGTCTGTCCCTTACCTATCGCTCTCTCTATCTCTCGGTCTGTCCATTACCTATCTCTCTCTCTCTCTCTCTCAGTCTGTCTGTTACCTATCTCTCTCTCTCTCTCTCTCTCGGTCTGTCCATTACCTATCTCTCTCTCTCAGTCTGTCCATTACCTATCTCTCTCTCTCTCTCTCTCTCTCTCGGTCTGTCCATTACCTATCTCTCTCTCTCTCTCTGGTCTATCCATTCTCTATCTCTCTCTCTCTCGGTCTGTCCATTACCTATCTCTCTCTCTCTCGGTCTATCCATTACCTATCTCTCTCTCTCTCAGTCTGTCCATTACCTATCTCTCTCTCTCTCTCTTTCTTGGTCTGTCCATTATCTGTTGATGATCTATCTCTCTATCCCAGTCTATTCGTTATCTATATATCTATATAACTCTGTTCATTAACTGTTTTTTTAAGCATTTCACCCCAAGCAAGGCAGGAGTGCTGCTAGTACATGAAGGGCTACAGAGAATGAAAGTAAGGGATATGACTATGTCGGGGGGGGGGGGTTATTGAGGAAAGGATAAAAAGAAGAATGGAAAAGGATAAAAAGAAGATAGTTATCAGGGAAACAAGAGGAAGGGAGTTCCACAGTCGGGAAGTATGACAGAAGCTGTTGGTGTAGAAGGGGTGGTTACATTTAACTATTTTGACAGTAAAAGGGTGAGACTGAGGTGTCAAATTAGTTGCATGCTTAAAACTCATGCAGTCTGGGCACCAGTGAAAATAGCTCGTCAGAGCAGATGCCATCAGAATATTTATAGAAAAGACAGAGGGAAGCCACATTACATCAGTGAGAAAGTAAGGACCAATTACATTGCATATCCACCTTTGCATTTTGTCAAGAACCTCGAGATGAACAGTGGAGGGGGCGCACCTGTCCATATATGGCAACAGTATTCCTTGCATGGATGAATGGTAGATTCGTAGATGTGAAGGAGTGGCTCATCTAAGAAAACCCTTCTGATGCAACTCAGAGAACCAACTTTCCTTGCGATAGATGCAGCTATTGATTGAATGTAGTTGTTCCACCTCTAGTCTGTGGAAAACATGAGACCAAGATGGTGCAGTGAGGAGCTTTCGTGGAGTTGAGCATCAACCGTGCTGATAGTAGGCAGGGACATTTATTTATGGTGAGTAAATGATAGCAGTTTTGTTTTGGATGCATTAAAATTCACAAGCCATTTTCTGCCCCAGTCAACCACAGATTGGAGGTCATTTTTGAGACCAATGGTTGGGTCAGCTTTGTCAGCAATGCCAGTTTTACTATGGAGACTGGAGTAAATCGTAGTGTCTTCTGTGTAGATGCCGACTTGAGAACTGGTGACGTCAGGAAGATCATTGATGAAAATCAAAAACAGAGTAGGGTCAAGGAAAGAGCCTTGTGGAACACTAGCTTTTATATGGAAGGAACTGGAAGAGAACCCATTCAGGACGACCTTCATTTTATGGTTTATGATCTAAGTCTATTTATTATCTACCTCAGTCTCTACATTATCTATCTATCTAAATCTATTTATTATCTATCTGTTATATACTGTGCCTATGAACACTAATGGGTATGTCCCAATCCTCATAAATACATTGGACACTATTGTAAGTGGGGGTAGTATGGTTTACCTACTTCACGGCGCTGGCGAGTATTGTATTTTGTTGATGTTATAAAGATTACAATTTTATTTCCAACTTCCGTTTTGGTTATTCCACATTCAGTAACCCTTTCTAGGTTACGACACTATCTAATTCTGTTCATATCTACCTATTTAAATCTGTTATTTAGCTAAGCTTCTTCATTATCTATCTAAGTCTGTTCATTATCTATCCAAGACTGTTCATTATCTACCTCTCTATCTCACTCTGTTCATTATCTACTTCTTTACATTGGTCTGTCTGTTATCTATCTATCTATCTATCTATCACTCTATCTCGGTCTATCCATTATCTATCTATCTATCGCTCTATCTCGGTCTGTCCATTATCTGTCTATCTATCGCTCTATCTCGGTCTGTCCATTATCTGTCTATCTATCGCTCTATCTCGGTCTGTCTATTATCTGTCTATCTATCGCTCTATCTCGGTCTGTCCATTATCTGTCTATCTATCGCTGTATCTCGGTCTGTCCATTATCTGTCTATCTATCGCTGTATCTCGGTCTATTCATTATCTGTCTATCTATCGCTCTATCTCGATCTATTCATTATCTGTCTATCTATCGGTCTATCTTGGTCTATTCATTATCTGTTCGTTATCTAATTCTTTTCATTATCTATGTTCATTATCTAAGTTTGTTCCTTATCTATTCATCTATCTAACTCTGTTAAGTCTTTTAATTATCTATCTCAGTTTGTTAATTATCTGTCTCTGCACACACGCGCACACACATGCATATTTAAGATTATCAATTTCTTTTTTGTTTTTTGCTAAAATAAAAATATTGTCTTCATAGTAGGCATATATTTTGGGTTTAGTAACTTGTTTGAATATTGTGTTTTCAACTTGGGACATGTAGTAGATAGAGAAGCAGAGGCTAAGGGGATTTCCTATATTAACGCCATTGGTTTGGGTGTAGATATTGCCATTATGGTTATAGAAAGGGACTTTAGTTTTACGGGCATGCAATAATTTTTGTGGGTATTTGGTCTGGTGAATGAAAGTGGAATGGAATTATTTTTATGCAAAGAGTTAAGGATTATGTCAATGGTTTGATTGATGGAGACATTTGTAAATAAATTTTCCATGTCAGAAGTGCTTGGATAGGCAGAACGTTTGGATAATTTTACACAATTTGTTTCCAGAAAAGAAAACACTTGTATGGGCACAAGAAAAATTAAACTAAAAGCTTAATTGCAGTATCTTGTCAGTCATCTTTAACAAAACCTGTATATATATATATATATAAAAGGCTCAAACACTAATCTTCCATGGTTATGATGTATTAATGTAGGTCTGACGAATTGGATTGTAATTACGATTCCAATATAATAAATTATAACCATGGAATATTAGTGTTTGAGCCTTTTATATTATATTCTTGCTCTGTCCTGGACATTGAGCTCTACCTGGATTCTATCCTATATATATATATATATATAAAATCATTCTCTACACACTTTCCTTTAGACCACACTCTACACACTTTTCTTTCAAGCACTGTTACTGTCAAACAGAAACAAGTGAGAACATTACAACTCAGTAAACATATGTAACAGAATCAAGTCAATCTGTACTAAGTAGCTTTATTTTGTGTACTTCAGCAGTTACCATAGCAACAGTCCAGATACTTTTTGATCAGCCCTTATATATATATATATATATATATATATATATATATATATATATATATATATATGTATATATATGTCTAATCAATTAATGTTATATCCTTAAAGATATATCTATGTATTGTATCTACCCAGGCCAGTAGATGAAAATATAGCATTTAAAAAACAGAGATGTCTACTCAGACACATGTATTCACTATATATAATGCATATAGTAATAAGAAATAGATATAAAATTGATGCTATAGTAAAAAGATGTCCTGTGTACCTACGATTTCCTTGGCTAGGTAGTATCAGTGATAGGTTTGCTAAGTAGGTTTTTACTGCAGTTCAACATTGTTACTTTGCCGCTAACACTCGTGTTGTTTTCTCTGCCAAGCCTGTCCTTCCGTCTATGCATAAGGATGTTCTCCCTCCACATTATAATAATAGTTTGTTAATTTATTCTTTGAAATGTAGTTGTGGTTTGCACTACATAGGGAGAACGATGCAAAGGTTGGATGTTAGAATAAAACAACACGTTCCAGTGAAAATCCAAAACCTTAAGTATACTCCCTTGGACATTTTGACCAATACATACGGGTCTTCCATCACAGAACACCTTATAAATAGCCATAATTGTACTGTTAGTTTTAGTGCGGACTCATTTACCATTCTTAGTAGGTCCCACTCTAATTACCACCTAAAAGTATTGGAGGTCATCTATATTCTATCATTAAAGCCTTCTCTTTGTAATCAGAAGGACTTTGTATTAGGCCTCCAACTAATTACCATTTAAATATTTTTCTCCCCCCCCCCCCGATACACTTTGTCTATTGTTCTTTTTTTATATAATTTACTTTATTTACCTCATTTTAGCTCTGTTGAGCAAGGTATGAAACTGGTTAGCTAGCCATTTTTACTTTTTATTATCATGAGTGGTAATAATAAAACTAATTTTTGTCTGTTTATGGCAGTGATAAAATTTTGTACCACTAAACATATCTTTAAATATATATATATATATATATAAAGTTTGTACAGCTATTATATAATTTATGTCCAGAAAAGAAAACATATGAATGCAGGAAAAATTAAATGAAAAGCTTAATCGAAGTACCCTGTCAGTCGTCTTTAATGAAACTTTTATAAGAGGTATTACTGTCCAAATACACACACACACACACACACACACATATATATATATATATATATATATATATATATATATATATATATATATGCATGGATTCTTGTGTTGTGAGCCAACACATGAGTATTCCATCAACACATTACTGATGTGTCCTTTCATGAGAGTAGAAGATTCATCTAGTTTTGTAGAATGACCTGCACCTGAAATTTATTTAAGTGAG